GTACATCATCATGATGTCACAGCTGTTGGTGTGTGGTGCACTGGTTGCCGTTAGTTTGCTGCACCTCTGTCTTTTGTGACCTGCTTCCTGTGTGTGTATTCACATGAAACAGTCGCCTAATCAACACAAATGTTCTCCAGAAAGCAGCCAATCAACACGAGCGTCAGCTGGGGATGGCACAGATTTAGTGTTAACTCCATCACTGAGATCTCCTGCATGTTCTCACTGCTCTAAGCAGCACATCAGAGACGTTACATCATGCAGATTCATTGCACGCCGTCTGTTTGTCATGCTGGAGGTGTTTCAGTGTCCCACACACCAACACAAGTCCCAGTGAGGACACATGTGATGTTTGTCTTTGTGTTTAGGAGCACAGAGCAAAGGCAGCACAGAGACTTGATCGTCTCAGGGAGAAATGGAGGCCGCCTGCTCGTCACTTTGTTACCTGATGAAGGCTCTGGCTGCTGGTCTGCAGCACACACTCTAGCATCACTCTGGGCTCTTAGCTTAGCGTTAGCATGCTGCCTGTAGTGTTGGCTGTCTGCATCATGCTGACACACTGGCAGTGACTCATCATCATCCTGGTGCCTCTACACTGATGAAGAACTAAAACCTTTCTGTGCTCGTAAAAACATGTCTGGTAACCAGGTCAGTGTCAGATCCAGCAATCAGAACCATCGTACCTGCTGAGCTCCTGTGTGGACATCAGACTGGATTCAGACACATTAAGTGAACAGAGTCACAGCTGCTGCCTTTAGCAGCAGAGGCTAACTGGCTAACCCAGCTGCTTTCTTCTGTTGACTGATGAAACTAAGTTTCTGTGAACTTGTCCAGACTTTGTGGGTTTGTCCAGCAGTGGGGTAAAGATATAAACCCCCCCACCTTTAACTATCATCACACCTCACAGCTGTCCTGGTGAGCTCGTTAATCTGCAGCGTTGACTTATCGTACAGATTATTAGTCCACACCAGGTCGATAGGAGCTCACGACACGCCCCCTGTGTGTAACGGGGGCGTGTCGTTTGGTTTCCTTTGTTTCCTTCATGCATTCATTTGGGATCTGAGCCAAAGTCATGACATCATCACAAACATCTTCCTGTTGACGTACAAACTTAGCTATGAGTTCAACAAAGAGAGAAACGTTGTCACTGCTTTGTACTCGTGAATATGGTGACATGTACATTTGCTAATAAATTGTATTTTCAAACACTTGTATTTTGTCGTTTCCTGTGTCGTACGCTCCGGACTCAGTGGAAGCTCCTCGGCCGAGCTCGCTGTCGGCACCGGAGCGGTGCGTTAGTGCTGGTGCAGCTCGGATGGGTGTTTTAAGCCTGTGAGCAGAATAGATGCACAGCTACAAAACCAGACGCTCCTCCACGCTGCGTCTTCACTGCTCCAGGGCTGTGCGGGTGCACTTCCCTCCACATCTGCTGTTAGCTCTGCACCGAGTCAAACACGAGTACAGATGTGATGGTGCTGTGAAAGCACGGTTCATGCCACAGCTTCAGCTGACTTCCACAGCCGGTCATGACCCCCCCTCTCACTGTGTGAGCGCCCCCTGGCTAAACGCCTCCCTCCTCTTTCCAGGGTCAGGTCTGAATAACACGAGCAGCTCTCAGATCCCGGAGGAAGACGTGGATCAGGTCCAAGGTTGGCTGCCAACCCCACGAAGGCTGTTCACCGACTGACCGTCGACCCTGGTCACTGCATAGACGAACAGAGCAGCCAGTGGCACCGCCATGTCTGCAATAAACCAATATTTGAAGAATTCATTACATTACAAATGATTACAAACCCGAGTCAGGAAACACAGATCCCAGAGAGGCGATGGTACCTGAAGCTTCATCGTTAGTACTCAGCAGCAGCAGCGCGGTGTGTGGGCCTGAGCCAGGAGAGAGTATCATCCACGCCACCGTGGCTGAGCTCCAACACACTCAAGACTAACACACATACACCAGAATGATGTTTTCATCAAATGCTCAAAGGACTCAGCTGTAGGCAAAAACTCCACACTTTCAGTCTTATTGCCTGTGAGAGCTGGGATGCAGTCTGGGTGAACATGCTGCTGTGGAACCTCCTGTTATGGATGTTGGTTCATGTTCTGTCTGAATGAAGCTATCATAAGACCTGGAGACTGTTCGAGTGTTCAGAAGTGAACGTACAGATTCAGCCGTTGCACCAGCGCACTGGAAACGTAGGACTGAGACTAAAAGTATCCAGATCAGTTAAAAAGCACTTTGGCGTCTCACTGAAGGTGAAAAAGAGAAACTTGTCAGGTATTACCTGAAAAATGCCGTTTCTAACCCTGTGTCTTTGCTGTGGGCTCCTCAGGCTCCACTCCAGGGAAACAGTCCCTCCCAGGGGCAGCTGGACTGCAGAAGGACGTCAGGACTGAAGATGCGGAGCAGCCATCCTGTTCTACACTCAAAACTGCATCAATCAACAAACCAGTTCAAAGCCAGCCGCTGGTTTTCCACCAGGTTCCAAGATGGCTCAGAGTGGAGCTCTGCTGCAGAGCTTGACGGTGCTGCAGCCGGCTTACCGCCACGTGGGGCTGACAGACGTGGTGCCTCTCACCACATATCCAAACCATCATGACCAGCAGCTTTACAGCTGTGGCTCCAGCAAACATCAGCTGATACTAGAAATTAATAT